GAGCGTCTTAGGGAGGGAGCGCTCCACCAAGAGCGCCGGTTGCCAGGAGAACAGTTTGGGGATCACCGGCTGGAGTTGCGCCTGACCGCACTCTCCTGGCGGATGGATTAGCCACTTCCCTCTCCACCCTGCTCCTCCCTCTGCGGTCCCCAAACTGGGAAGGCACGAAGCCCTGGCTGTCACCCTAGATTGCACCTCTTCTCCCCCAAATGGTCACCAGTCCTGCTGCCTTTTTCTCCTGATCAGCCCAGATGTCTGCCCCTCCCCCAGGGCCACCTGCCCTGGTTCAGTCCCCACTCCTTCCCCTCTGGCCTTCCGGGACTGTTTTCTCTGGGTCTCCCCCAGCCCCCTGATTTGTGCTCTCTCCCACCCGTCTCCCCCAGATCTCTAGGTGGTCTGTCCAGGTATATACCTCTGACCACTTCCCTCTCCTGTGTACACCCCGAGGCCCATGGCAAACCCCGGCCTCTGTTCCCAGGAATGTGGGCTCAGGGGCTATCCCTACCCTGGGGTCCTCCGGCCATCCTTCACCCAGCCCCCTGGTCCAGGAAGGGTCTCTACCTGCTGCCCCAGGGCACCTGCGGTGGGGGCTACAGATAGCAGGTCTCTTAATGAGGTCTCCTTCACTTTCTATTATTGGTTCTCAGGTTTTTCCTAGAGAAGACAAAAGTGATACCGTGGCGTCAATTACTGAGCTTTTAGAAAGTACCCTGCCAGACATTCCACAGGGTCCCCTGAGCAGAAAGGGAGGGCGCAGGGGGCAGTTTTGGCCGCTTGTAGAGCCAGTGGTCGGGCCTCCGGCTGGTACTCTGAGTAGGATGGAGGCCATGGGAGCAGGCACGTGACGTGCTCTGAGCCGTCCTATTAAAGCATCCCTATGGTGGGGTGAGAATAGAGCACAGGGCAGCGGAGGGGGCCAGGAGACCAAGAGAGGAGGCAGGTGGAGACCAGGCGGGCAATGGAGACGAGCTGGACAGGGCGGTGAGCGGTGCTGAGTTGTGGGAACATTTGCCTGTTCCTGCCACTGAGGAGGCAAGTAAGTGGCCTGGCCTTGCAGGGAGCCCTGTGCTCGGGCCCTGGCCCCCAGTCCAGAGGCATCGCCCCCTCCACCCTCCTTGCTGTTCTGCACCGGCTCCTCCCTCGGGAAGCCAGTGCCGGACGTTCTGATAGAAGTTTGTTGCTCGGCTCTGCAAGAAAGTGCTTTGAAAATCTGAACATAAACGCTCCCTGTTAACCTATCCTCCCTCTCTCTCCTCCGGCAGAGGGTGAGCCAATAGGCACTTACCCCGTTTCCCACACGGTCGCCACCTGCTCTGTCCAGTTCAGTAGCCAGAGCCACGTGTGGCTGTTCAAACGTAAACATGTCAAAGTGCTCGGTGGCCCCTGTGCTGGTGGCTGATGTATTGGAAGCCCGGACCGTAGAATGTTCCCATCCGCAAGGACAGTTCTCCTGCAGGTTTGCTGGAAGGAGAGAGGGTGAAGGGCGGAGTGGACAAGGGGCTTCGAGAGGGCCATTCGTCCCCCGTGCTTCCGGAGGGCCCCCTGGGGCCGGGCTGTGCTCTGGGTGCTCGGGACAAGGGCACCGGGCAGTCCCTGCTGTAGGAGACCTGCCTTCTCGGGGCAGGAGAAGGACACTAGGTAATGCTGTCGCCCTGGTGTGACAGATGGTGGTTGAGGCGACACAGAGAAATACAGCGGGCGAAGGGGATCGAGAGAGGGCGACGAGTGCCCTCCAGGCAGGGTGGCCAGGGAGGCGCTTTGAGGAGGCGGCCCGTTGAGCAGAGCCCTCCCTGTATGGGATGAATGAGGTCAAGGTCATGTTGGAGAAGAGCTTTCCAGGCTGAGATAATAGTGAGACCAAGGCCATTGTTGGGTCTGCTTGGTGTGGTCCAGGGCCAGCAAGGAGGTCTGTGCAGCAGGAGCAGAGCAGGGGGAGGGGAGGGGTGAGGCCAGAGGGTGAGGAGGGGCCCAGGAAAGGCCCCACAGGAAGAGAGGAGCCAGTGGTCGGGCCTCCGGCTGGTACTCTGAGTAAGATGGAGGCCATGGGAGCAGGCACGTGACGTGCTCTGAGCCGTCCTATTAAAGCAGGGGTCCTCAAACTTTTTAAACAGGGGGCCAGTTCACTGTCCCTCAGACCGTTGGAGGGCCGGACTATAGTTCAGAAAAAACTATGAACAAATTCCTATGCACACTGCACATATCTTATTTTGAAGTAAAAAAACAAAACGGGAACAAATACAATATTTGTATTTGCATGTGGCCCGCGGGCCGTAGTTTGAGGACCCCTGTATTAAAGCATCCCTATGGCAGGGGTAAGAATAGAGCACAGGGCAGTGGAGGGAGCCAGGAGACCAAGAGAGGAGGCAGGTGGAGACCAGGCGGGCGATGGAGACGAGCTGGACAGGGCGGTGAGCGGTGCTGAGTTGTGGGAATGTTTTGAAGGTAGAGTAGAGGCAGTGGGATTTGCTGGGAGTGGGTGTGGGTTGACAGAGAAGAGTCAAGGATGTACTAAGTGAAGACCTGGGCCTGAGCAAATGGAAGGCTGGGGAGTCCTCAGCTAACTTGTGGAAGCCTCTCACAGCAGCGCCTCCGTGTCTGCCGCCCTCCTGCATCAGCACCTCTGTGCTCAGCTGCCCCTCCTGCACGTATTTGCTCTACAAGCTGTGTTTCTTTTTCTTTTATAAATATACTAGAGGCCCGGTGCACAAAAATTTGTGCACTCGGGGGGCGGGGGGTCCCCCAGCCCGGCCTGTGCCCTCTCGCAGTCTGGGACCCCTCGGGAGATAACGACCTGCTGGCTTAGGCCTGCTCCCGGGTGGCAGAGGGCAGGCCCAATCCCTAAGTGCAGCCCCTGGTCAGGCTCAGAGCAGGGCCGATTGGGGAGTTGGGGCGCCGCCCCGTCATGCACAGAGCATGGCGGATCGGGAGGTTGCGATGCCACCCTCAGTCACGCTCAAGGTAGGGCAGATTGGGGGGTTGGGGCACCGCCCCCTGTCACACTCAAGGCAGGGTCGATGGGGAGGTTGCGGCGCCACCCCCTGTCACGCACAGAGCAGGGCGGATCAGGGGGTTGGGGCGCTGCACCCTGTCAAACTCAGGGCAGGGCCAATGGGGAGGTTATGGCTCTACCCTGTCACACACAGAGCAAGGCCCGTGGAGGGGGGTTGGGGTGCCACCCTCTATCACCCACAGAGCAGGGCGGATCAGGGGGTTGGGGCGCCACCACTGTCACACTCGGGGCAGGGCCGATGGAGAGGTTATGGCTCTACCCTGTCACACACAGAGCAGGGCCCGTGGGGGGGGGGCGGGTTGGGGCGCCTCACCCTGTCACACACAGAGCAGGGCCGATCAGGGGGTTGGTGTGCTGCACCCTGTCAAACACAGAGCCGCAGGGCAATCAGGGGATTGGGGAGCTCCCCCCTATCAGGCACAGAGCAGGGCTGATCAGGGTGTTGGGGTGCCTTCCCCTGTCACACACAGAGCAGGGCTGATCAGGGGGTTTGGGCGCTGCCCCCTGTCACGCTGATCCCGGTGCCGGGAGGCATATTACCCTTTTACTATATAGAATAGAGGCCTGGTGCACGGGTGGGGGCCGGCTGGTTTGCCCTGAAGGGTGTCCTGGATCAGGGTGGGGGTCCCCACTGGGGTGCCTGGCCAGTCTGGGTGAGGGGCTGAGGGCTGTTTTCCGGGTGGCGAGTGGCTGAAGCTCCCAACCGCTCCTTGTTTTCTTTTTTTTTTTTTATTCTGGGCCAGCTTTAGCTCTGAGGCCTCGCTGCTGAAAACATCGATACAAAGTTTCGGTCCGCCTGGCTTTCAGTCTGACTGATTTCTGGGGTTTTGTTTAGCTTCTTATTTGCAACATAGTGCATAGTTGCTTAGAGTTGCAGCTGAGAGGCCGGCAAGTGAGGCGGGGAACGTTGGAGTCCGCAGCAAGCAAACCTCATGCTCGCTTCAGTGCCTGGCTGCCGGCCGCCATCTTGGCTGACAGTTAATTTGCATATACTCACTGATTAGCCAATGAAAAGGGTAGCGGTCGTACGCTAATTACCATGTTTCTCTTTTATTAGTGTAGACTAGAGGCCCGATGCACGAAAATTTGTGCAAGAGTAGGCCTTCCTTTCCCCGGCTGCCAGCACCGGCTTCCCTCCGGGACCTGGGACCCAGGCTTCCCTCAGCCCCAGCTTCATCTGGAATGACATCCAGCCTAATTAGCATGTTACCCTTTTATTATTATAGACTAGAGGCCTGATGCACGAAATTTGTGCAAGAGTAGGTCTTCACAGCCCCGGCTGCCTCAGGCCAAGGCAGTAGCCCCAGCAGCTGCCTCGGCCCTGGAGCCAACCTCCCGCGGTCCCTCCCTGGCCGGCCACACCTGGAGCAGCACCGGGGCTCGAAGCGCATCTGCGGAGTGAGTGGGGTCCCTTGGCCCGGCCTATGGGGATCGGGCAGAAACCGGCAGTCCAACATCCCCTGAGGGGTCCCCGAGTGTAAGCGGGCACTCTGCAAAGTTGTTGTTGCTCGGCAGTTCCTGCGTTGAGCGTCTACCCTCTGGTAGTCAGTGCGTGTCATACCTACTGGCCGGTTAGTTGGTCGGCTGCTCATTTAGCCTTTTATACATATAGATTTTTGTTGATTTCAGAGAAGGGAGAGGAAGATAGAGATATCAATGATGAGAAAGAATCATTGATCGGCTGCCTCCTACATGCCCCCTACTGGGGATCAAGCCCACAAAGCAGCCATGTACCCTGACTGGGAATAGAACAGTGACCTCCTGGTTCATAGGTTGACGCTCAACCACTGAGCCACGTTGGCCAGGCCAAGCTGTGTTTCTTAGCTGGTTGCAGGATGCTGTGTGAGCATCAGAGGACTCGCCAGCCAGGACCCTGCGTGAGGGCTCAGAGACTGGCTGGGGTGCTGGCATGTCACAGAGCCGGGAGCGTAGCACGGGGCAGAGGCCTGGCGGCTGATGCTGCTGCGCGTGCAGGCGTCCTCAGGAGCATCGCTTCTCCTCTGTGCGTCTTTGTGCCCCTGTGCAGCGGGAGGGCGGCACTCTGGAGAGGGGTGTGCATTGTGGAAGGATCATAGGGTGTGGACTCACACAGGTTGGGATAGAGTCCAAGCTTCCTGCCTGTGCAACGTTGGGCAGGTGAGCTAGCCTCCATGAGCCAGTTTCCTCATCTCTCAAATGGGAGAAATAGAATTTGGGTATGGCTCGGCCAGCATGACTCAGTGGTTGAGCATTGACCTATGAACCAGGAGGTCACGGTTCGATTCCCGGTCAGGGCACATGCCCGGGTTGCAGGCTCGATCCCCAGTGTGGGGCGTGCAAGAGGCAGCCAATTCATGATTCTCGCTTATCATTGATGTTTCTGTCTGTCTTTCTCCCTCACCCTTCCTCTCTGAAATCAATAAAAATATCCTATATAATAAAAGGCTGATATGCAAATGGTCGCCATGCCCTCACGTATAACGACCGGTCAGCAGGAGGCTGCGTGTGCAGCAGGCGTGCTCAGGTGGGTGGGGCTGTGTGCATGACTGGCTTCATCACATGGAACACCTCTCGGTCCCTCCACCCACCCCCCACCCCCTGGCTCCTGCGGGCGGTGGTGGCTCGTTCCTTGCCTCCCTCTGGTGGGCACGTTATGGCTCCCACCAGCTCCTGCGGAAGCGGCGGGCAGCCTACTGTGCGCAATTTCACGCGCTGGGCCACTAGTATTTTAAAAAGAATTTGGATATATAGAGTGATGGGCATACACCCAGCACCAGGGAAATAATAGCCATTATTATAGTTACTGACCTCACTGATAGCTGCCCTGTCCGGTCTGTGATTCAGAGTATGTAGGTGAAGGGTGTGTCCTTATGGGGGCCAGGCCTGGGTCAGGGGGCACGTGGCAAGGGCAGAATGAACACATTGTGAGGATGAGGGGCGGCAGGGCTGGCGTCTGGTGGGCGAGCCCGGGCTCTCCGTTGGGATTTTCCAGGGGAGCCATGGCAGGGCTGGAGGGGGCCAGACCTGGGCGCCTTCTCTATGTGGATGATGGACCAGCTGACGGGAGGCTGCCCAGTGCACGGCGACCTGCGTTCACTCCGTCACCCCTGTGTGGGCTGGTGTGTCCCGTGGGCCGACACCCAGGAGGTGTGAGCAGTCATTAATGCCTCCGGCTGAAATGCCAGCCCTGGTTTGTGGCGTCCCTGTGACAGCGGGTGTCGCTCCCATGCACCCAGACCAGGAAAAGCCCGCATTCCTCTTTCCTCCTGGGTTTAGGTTCCAACCCTTTGCTGCTCTTTAAAAGAAATCTCCGAGGTTACGTAAGGCAGTTGCTGGACTAGCAGAAGGCATTTCTTTCCCCCTCAAAAATGCCCCTTGCACTTTCCCTAAATGCGTGCGGCATGACATGGTTTTTGTTTCCTAATAATTTCTGTATCTCCTTGTAGCGTGGAGACATTTCAAGAGACACTCAAGGAACTTCTGAGGACGGAGTGGTTTTTCAGAAATGTGCGGTGGTGAGTGCTTGGAGGGGGCTCACGCGCGGAGGGAAGATCATTGGGTTTTGCCCACATCATCGATTAGCGAGGTGACGCGTTTAAGAACGGGGAGACTGCAGGGTCACCTACCTAGGTCTGGGCACGTGAGTGATGAGCTGGCTGACGAGGGATTTACATCTTATTTCACCAGGGCTAAGTTTTTTGGTGACGATGAAATTATTGTTAGTGAAAATCCACTGGGATCACTTACCGTAGGTTTTCACAGGGCTGTGGTGCTTGACAGTTTAAAGAGTTATTTACCATCTTCTAGGTCTTCAATCCTACGAGACGGCTTTTGCATCATCCTGTGGTGGGGCCCGCAAGCCCACCCTCAGGCTCAGTGGTTCAATAGAAGGCGTTACCATCCTAGCCAGTTTGCTCAGTGGGTAGAGCATTGGTTCCCGGACTGAAGGGTCGCTCCCCATTCAGGGGCATGTGCCTCAGTTGCAGGCTCGGTCCCCGGCCCTGATCGGGGCATGTGCAGGAGGCCACCAGTTAATGTGTCTCTCTCACCCCTAGGTTTCTCTCTCTGTCTCTCCCCCTTCCTTACACTCTCTAAAAATCAGTGGGAAAATACCCTCGAGTGAGGATTAACAAAACAAAACAAAATGAAACAAAACTAAACAAACAGGAGGCCTCAGCAAAGAGGTTATGCTCAGCAAAGGAAAACACACGTGGGGCAGCGTTCCGGAGGGATAGCTGCCCGCTGCCCTCTCCTGGTGATTGAATGGACAGCGTTTAATTTTCCAGTGAAGCGTGACGTCAGCCAGGGACGCTCACCTGAGCCCTGGTGTCCCGGATTTATATTGGGGTGGGTCAGCTACTGAGTCTCCAAGCCCCCCCAGGGGTCATCATGACACAGCGTGGCCCGTGGCCCCACCAGGAATCCCGCTGTGAGCACACACTCCCTGTTGTGGCCCGAGGCCACAGGTATCCACAGGTGTGTGAACACCCCCTTCCAGGTGGTGTTCCAAGGGCGTTGGAGGTCAGTCCCGCAGGAGCTGGTCCAGGGCCAGCCTTCCCTTGGGATGTGCAGGGCGGGGCAGCCCAAGCCCTCTGAGCGAACCCTTGTGCACAGCCCTCATCCTGTCCCAGGCCCGCGGGTGTCCTGTGCCCTGCCCCCTACAATGAGTGCTCCAGTTCCTCCATGTCCTAGAATGTTTTCCCCACGTGCATGCAATCTTAAGTGTGCATGTGTGTACTTGTGTGTATCTGGACCCACACCTTCCTCTTCCCCCTACACAGGTGGCGTGCACGGCGCACAGTCTCCGACCTGCTTTCTGCACTTGTATCCCTGAGTCACTTTCCTGGGGACATGCCGGGCAAAGGAGGGGTAGGGAGGGTGGCAGATGAGTTAGAGAGGGGAGCAGGGTGAGCTTGGAGAGCCCGGGTGGGGAGCCCAGCTGTTGGGCACTGGGCTGCTTCCAACAGCCAAGCCAGACGTGGCTGGGCAGAAGCTGGAGGGGCACAGGCCTGCAGGCAGGAGCCCAGCTCGGGCGACGCTGGAGACCAGATGGCAGGCAGAGGCCCGGACGGGCTCTGGGGCCAACTCTTCAAAATCAGGGAGTGAGACAGCCCACTGTTTGCTTCTCTCGGCGGCACCCAGTCTCGCTCTCCCCAGCCTGATTTTGGTTCTGTGCCAGGATGCTTTCTCTGTGTTTCTCTGTAGGAACGATTTCACCGCATCCCAGGGTCCCAGTTACTGCAAACTGTCGCCAGGCCACAGCTTGGCTGTGCCAGGACTCTCCTGGGCCTCTGAGATCAGCCTGGGGAATGTGAGACCCTCATGCCCTGTCCTAGGGGCGTTTTGTGCCATGTGCATGCAAGTATGAGAGGGTGCACACATGTGTGTGCCCCTCCACACATGTATACACACGTGCATGGTACACGGACCTCTGCCTGACCTAACGCGCCCCAGTGGAGCCGGAGCACCATTTTAGGGAGAGGGCCTTGTCCCTGAATCTGCCCTCCCTCCATCCCGCCGCAGGTGTCGGGGCCGAGCGTGGCGCAGACGGCCCAGGTGCGTCTGCTGGTGAACAACACCGCGGCGCCGGGGGCCGCCGACCTGTCGGATCTGCTTTTGCTCGACAACATCACCGGCCTCGCCGTCAGGGAGTCGGCGGGAAACAAGACGTCGGCAGGGCTGCAGGCCTTCAGGCGGCGGTTTCTGCAAGGTGGTGGCAGCGGGGCCGGGCAGGGAGGGAACGGCAGGCTCGCGGAGCACGGGGTCGCCCACACGCGTGCGCTTAGACATGGCACGTGTTCTCCCAGTTAGTCCTCCCGGCGGATGGGCTGTCAGAGGAGGGGACCGCCTTCCAGTATCTGCATCTGACAGGCTGGATTTGTTACTTCACTTACAGAGAGAGAGGATTTGGAGAAAGAGTCTTTAACGTATTACATATATTCCATTCTTTTTAAAAATATATTCTTATTGATTTTAGAGAGGAAGGGAGAGGGATAGAGAGATAGAAACATCAATGATGAGAATTATTGATCTGCTGCCTTCTGCACGCCCCCCACTGGGGATCGAGCCCGCAACCCAGGCATGTGCCCTTGGCCGGAATCGAACCTGGGACCCTTCAGTCCGCAGGCCGATGCTCTATTCACTGAGCCAAACCGGCCAGGGCTATATTTCATTCTCATTTCAAACATGAACAAAGATGGAGTTATAGTGAACCCCAGTGCATCCATCACCCACATGACCAAAATTGCCATCACTCAGTAAGCGGAGCCCGTTCCGGGATATGCCGGAGAGAGGTGTGAGTACAGAGAGATGGAGCCCATGCTAGGCTGGTATAGCCTGTCACACAGGGAGGCGAAGTTGGAGGCCATGCGTAGGTAAGACCTGCAGGCCCTGGCTTGGCGCCACTTGCTGTGCGCAGACCCCACTGCCTGGCGTGTCCACACGGCAGTGGGTACCCTGTCACCAGGGCCCACAGACCTGCAGATGCCTTCCCTTAGCGTGGATGGGATGCTGGGATGAACACATCCCGCCTGGATTCCGAAGCAAACAGGAAGGTTCTAGATTTCCTACAAGAGTGAGCTGAACACATCCTGCATCGGGAGACAGACCCCGTCTGAGGCAGTGCTGGCGGGGAGGGGCAGGTATGACATCACAGGAGCAGAGAGGGGCTCCTGCCCCTGGCACCTGCCCACAGCCCTTCCCAAGGGAAAAGCCAGGGCGCCAAGGGTGGGCATGCTGTCCCCGCTCACAGGTGGGGGAGTCTCAAAGGCTCCCCTGCTGCCCATGTGGGCCTCGGTGGCCACCTCCTCTTGAAGACGTGGGTGTCTGGGGGGTGGCGGGACGTCGGTGTCTGGGGTGAGGTGGGCGTGGCTGCGTGGCAGAGGCCCTGTCGTGACCCCCCTGTGCCTTCTCTCTGAGCAGTCGGAGACTCCTTCTCAGTCAGCTACACAGCCTCGCTGGAGGCCGGGGACCTTGGGCGTGGAGAGGTCCTGGTGCTGCCGGCCCTGCTCACCTTCCAGAGCGCCTCCGCGGTGCGTATGGCTGCGTCGCTCTGCTGTCTGCCTGCTCACTGCCCGGGAGGTGGTTTTAGCAACATCCACACATAGAGCACACGATCTGTTCCTCCCTCCCCTGACTCTCCCTCTCTCCCTCTCTCCCTCCCTCCCTCCCTCCTTCAGTGACATCAAATTCCAGATAAGTGCACAGGCCCAGGCATCTCACACACTTTGCCGTGAGCCGGGGCCCCTCGCCCCTCGCCCCTCGCTGTGACCCTGAGTGATCACTGAACGCCGTGGGCCGCGGCAGACTTAGGAGGATGTCTAATACTAGATGTTGATGCTCCTGCCGTGCCGTGCGCAGAACCAGCATCCAGCCAGTGGCCTTCACCCTGGTTGGTTTGCGGGAGCTGCATGACCAAGTGCCGCGGATGAGATGGCTTAAAACAGCAACTTACGCCCTCACACCCGGAGGCTGGAGTCCGAGGTCAGGGTGTCCGCAGGGCGGTTCCCTCTGAGGCCTGTCCCCTCGGTCTTCACTGGGCCGTCCCTCTGTGTCCTCCCCTCCCCATAAGGCCGCCAGTCCCACTGGACAGAGCCCACCCTGATGGCCTCATATGACCGTAATGACCCCTGAGAGGACCCCATATCTAATCACAGTCACATCCTGTCGCACTGGGGGAGGGCTGGCTTCACCCTGGGGATTTGGGGGGCGGGGCACGATTCAGCCCATGCATTCACCTCTCTGTTAATCCCCGTGGGCGGTGAATGCCCTGGTTGTGTGGCGTGTGCCAGGCGCTGTGCACACCCTGGGGGCCCGGGAGGGGGAGGTTCCATCCTTGTCCTCAAGCAGCTCACGTGCTAGTTGCTTTGGCCATTTAGTTCTGGCGTCAGCCCCTGGAGAAAGGATATTCATGGGCTTGGGAAACAAGACTCAGAGGGGACTGCCCAGGTCACAGGGCAGCGGCAGACTCAGACCCACAGCTGCCCGGCCCTCGCACCCGAGGCTGACGGGCCTGCGTGTGGCGTTGCTGCTGCAATAGGGGGAACATCCCAGGTAAAGTTAGATCAAACGGAAGATTCCAGAAGGGAAGGACCAGATACAAGAAAACAATATGAAACTGTCAGAAAAGACAAATCTCTCAGAAAATAATTCAGTACAAAGTCAAGGACAGAGGACAGAGAAGAGTAAAAAAATAGAAAT